TGAACTCACGATGCTATGATTATCTCACTCAGCTATGAGCTGACCCTCTTTTATTCTTCTTCTCTGCTTATGCTATGTGTAAGTAGATCATCAGCAACAGCAGTAGATAGGTGTATAGGTGGGAGCTGAGCAAGAGTTGAAGGCAAGATGCGGTATGGTCTTCAACTATTCTGTGCTTGGACTACTACTCGGGATTTTGGCCAGTGATCCACACCTTTTTGTAAAAATATTTTGAGAACGTTTTTCATGTGCATACTAGCTTCTGATGTAGGGTGAGATATCCACAGGTGTGGAAAATTGATGATATGTGTATATGTTGTGTAACTGTGTAAGTTGTGACGATTATGGTATGTATAAGTTTGGTATGCAGTTGTGTAGTATGAAACTGTGACTATGGCTATGAAAGTCCATGTATATGGTTGTTAGTATATAGGTTTATCATTGAATGCATGGAATCAGATGAATTATTTTGCAGGATAAGTTGCAAGAACTGTTAGCCCATTACGCGAGTAATTCATGTCGAAATTTTATTTAGGTAAATTTTGATAATAATGTAACACCCGAGATTAATTCCGCTGCAATTGTATGAACAATATGATTAGACAAAACGTATAGGGTAGGGTGTTACATATTCTGCGCCGTTGTTTGTCTTTAGGGATGCAAACCGCAATGCGACTTCATGCATTGCACCTCCTGGGCTTATAATCACGATGCCTGCCCCGGCGCCGGTGCGACTTGCCGCCCCATCGACCTGCACTTGCCAACAGTCATCCACCCCACGCTCTGCCTCTGTTATTCCTTCCGCGACGAAATCTGCCAAGACCTGGGCTTTTATCGCAGGCCGAGGCGCATTCCGAATATCGAACTCACTTAGCTGAACCGCCCATTTGACAAGGCGCCCAACTACGTCCATTGACCCCAACGTGGACCTCAACGGAAGGTTGGTGAGCACCACGACGGTGTGCGCCTGGAAGTAGGGCCTCAGCTTGGTTGCGGCCATCACAACTGCAAATGCGGCCTTCTAGATGGGTGCATATCGCCTTTCGTGGGCGACCATGGTACGACTGACATAGTATACTGGCTTGTCTTCTCCCGAGGGAGCCTCCCTTGAGACGAAGACTGCACTCACCGAGACTTTTGATACGGCAATGTAAAGGTATAACGTCTCCCCCGCTTTGGGCGCCGTCATCACGGTTGGGGCGGCTAGGAGTTGCTTCAATTCTTTGAACGCTCCATCGCACTCAGGAGTCCATTGAAAATGCACCACCTTCTTCGGCATCCGGAAGAAAGGAGCGGCCCTATCTGCGAACCGTGGGATGAAGCGCCCAAGGGCCGCTAACCTTCCTGCCAAGCCTTGCACCTCCTTGGACGTCCTTGGGGGTGTCAGCCTGAGGATAGCTTCCACCTGCTTCGGGTTGGCTTCGATGCATCGCTTGGTGATCATGAATCCCAAGAATTTCCCCGCTTCGGCACCGAACACACATTTGAGAAGGTTGAGGCGAAGCCTGTGCGCCCGCATAGCCTGGAACATTTCCCGCAAGTCTTCCAGGTGATCCTCACGCCTACGACTTTTGACTATCAAGTCGTCCACGTAGGCCTCCACATTACGAACAATTTGTTTGCGGAAGACGTTGTTCACCATTATCTGATAGGTGGCGCCCGCATTTTTGAGCCCGAATGCCATGACCCGGTAGCAAAAGTTACCGAAGGGCGTCATGAAAGCAGTTTTTGGTCGGTCTTCCTCTGCCATGGGGATTTGATGGTACCCGGAGAACATGTCAACAAAGCTCAGCATCTCATGATACGCCGTGGAATCTACCAGCTGGTCTATTCGGGGCATCGGGTAGGCATCCGTGGGGCATGCTCTGTTGAGGCTCGTATAGTCCATGCACATCCTCCAATCTCCTGACGGCTTTGGCACGAAGACCACATTCGACAACCAAGTAACATAAGCAGTTTCTTCGACCAAGTTGGCGCCCAGGAGCTTGTCCACTTCGACCCTAAGCGCCGCCTCTTTCCTTGGTGATAGATTCCTGCGCTTTTGTTGCACTAGGCGCCTGCCTTCTTCGACTGCCAACTTATGAACGGCCGTTTCGGGCGCGACGCCTGACATTGCAGAGCACTCCACGCGAAAAGCTCCGCGAATTCCTTCAGAAGGGCGATGAGGCGTTCTTTCACTTCATCTGGCGCCTGTGTAGATATCCTCACCTGCCTTTCCGGGCGCCCTTCGTCTAATGCCACTAAAATTTCTTCGTCGGCGGCTTCAGCTCTGGGCACCTCTTCTACCACGGTCTCCATCACATTGACTCTTGCATCGATACACCTTCGTTTTCGTCCTACTTCCTTCACGCAACGCGGGGCGCCTCGTCCCCGGGCTACGCCTACTCCTTGCGGGGCAATGAACTTCAAGGTTTGATGAAAAGTAGAGGCCACCCCGCTGAACATGGCCAGGAGAGGTCTTCCCAGGATTGCATTGTATGGCGATGGACAGTCTACTATTCCGAAGTCAATGGAGCGCGTCACCCTTTGCTCCCCGTCGCCCAAGGTAACAGGCAGGCGCACTCGCCCTATCACCCTGGCGGGCGCCCCCAAAAAGCCGACTAATACTGACTCCGATGGCCTGATCAATTCCGGCGATAGTTGCATGCGGGCCACCGTGTCCTTGAATAACACGTCCATTGAACTTCCCGTGTCGACAAGCATCCTTCTCACTTTGCATCCTGCCACGACTCCCTGTATTAACAGGGCGTCCCTGGAAGGGAGGATGCATGCTTCCTCTGGCGCCCTATTGAAACTGATATCGATCGCCTCCTGCACATCAGCAGAGGCAGCTCTCAACCGGCGATTTGCCTCTGTCTTTTCCCTCAAGTCCATCGTCCCTGAAATGGTATCGATGGTAAGGAGTACCCTCTCAGACGCCTTTTCCTAGTCGAGGTCATAGGGCGGGGGTGGCAGCTCTTCCTTCGCTCTCTCTATGCCGGCCACACACGCCCGATGCACTCTGTCTTCGGGCTTCTTGACGATGTCATTAAGCATCCCTCTATCTGCCAGGCCCTGCAGCTCGGTCTTCAATTGGTAACAGTCGGCTGTGTGGTGCCCTATCTCCCGATGAAAATCACAATATCGGTCCAAGTTTCGCTCATTGGGTTGTCCCCTCATGGGTCCTGGCCATCTGATGTGATATCCCTTTTCCTTGACATGTTGGAGTATGTTCTTCAGCGTGTCATTATATTCAGCAAAGGCTCCCGCCCCCCTGGGAGTCGGGCGCCCCGAGTCGATTCTCCTTGGTTGGGAGTGGTTCATGGGTGGTGCATATCCCGAACCATTCGGGGGGTGTGGCCGCCTTGTCATCTCAACTTCTTCCCCTCTCGTCTTCCGCCTATCTACCCTTCTGGCCGCCAAGGTTTCTTCGATCATGATTACCTTTTGCACTCGGTGTTCCAAGTCTTCCGTGGACACCACGTCCCTCTTGGCAAGCGCCCTGCATAGCTCCTTGCTGGTGGTACATTTGTTCAGGCATACTCCCAACACTGACGGCTGGGCGTCCTTCACTGCAAGGGCTACTGATAGCCACCTTTCGTAAAATTCTCTCAGCGCCTCCCCTTCTCTTTGTTTCACCTTGAATAGGGCGCCTATGGTTAGGCAGTGGCGCTTCCTACTAGCGAACTTTGCCAAAAACATCGCCGCAAAGCAGTCGATGAGCCCCTCTTCAATTTGGTGATACCAGTCGAGGACCACGCCCGTAAAGGTCGACGGGACCACTTTGCACAGGGTGGCGTCTGAGCTGTTGTAAAGCTGCATCTTGGTGAAGTACCCATTCAAGTGATCATCCGGGTCCGCTGTCCCGTCGTAAGTTGGGAGTGGGGGGATGTTGGTCCCTGCGGGCTCCATCAGTATATTCTGCTACAGGGGCTGCCTCACGGTGCAGTGGCGTGATAGGCGCCCAAAGATCCCTCCATTCCATCCACTGGCGTCCAGCCCACCGCGATCATTTGGGCGCCACAAGCTCGAGCGCCTCACATGCCCTGACTCGCTTTCCGTCTCCGCCACTCTTTTACTCTTCTTCGAAGTTGGGCTGGGCGTCATCCCTTCACCTCTTTTCAAGGCGTCAACCTCCCGCCAAAGCGCCTCGATCGCCTCATCCTGATCCTCGATAATCCTAAACAGCTCCTTTTTTGTGACCGAGGTGCCTTCCGACCTTCAAAACATACCATCAGTTTCCTCACCTCCGTCCATCTCGGGCGTCATCCCTCTCATCCGTCCAGACTGTTCTTCCGTAATTTCCTCTCTCTCTCCACTCATAGGCGCCTCTTCACTCATGATTCCTGGTTATATTCCCCTACCTGGCGCGCCAATTGTTTGAGCATCGACGCCTTACCGACATACCCATGCTCCTTCTATCCGGTGCCTGCCTACACACACAAGCACAGAGGGGGCGCCTGGGCCCGTTAGCCCTCCGACGATCAAGTCAGTGTCTTAGAGAGAGAAGTGCTTTTAGAGCTAGAGATGTAGTGAGAGAGTCCAACCTGTGTAAATGCTACCAACTGCCCCTATTTATACTCACCGAGCTCGAGGTGGATTTCCTCCACGTCGCCATCGCATTAAATGCTCTGTACTCTTACCTCTGTCAGGAGCCTCAACCACCTTGTCAGGCTTCTGTCGGGTGTCAGGCGCCCAGAGACGAGGGACCACCTGCCAGCCTGGACTTCTCCGGCCCTTAGCGCCTTGTCCTCTAGCCAGTGCCACCTGTCGTGAGGTGGGCTTTGTGAGCTTCCTCTTCTGGCCCACTGACTTGGGCTTGCGCCAACTGAGCGGGCTTCTTTATGGGCCTTCGTCTGGGCCCTATTAATTGTACCCCCAACAGCAACCCCCTTAAGTATTAGCACCATGCTAACACTTTCATTAAGGGTAGTATAGTTGATAGAACATTGATTGCACAGGTTTATACATCCATTCTTGAACAGTTTGAGAGTCGATTCTCGTGTTTTAAGCCGATTTCACGCTAGGTTGTGTGTTTATGTCATATTTCAGGACTTGGCGTTGACGTGAAGGCGAGGAATCGAGTTTTGTGTCAAAAAGGAGGATACTGGAGTGAAGGGCGTCGGAAGAGGAAAATACCCGGCCAAGAGTTAAAATAACCGGCCGGGTAAAATGCAAAGAGAGGTCAGGGAAAAGTGCTTTGGACGCCAAAATGGCAGAAGGGGTCCCGGCCGGACAGCTAAAATACCCGATCGGGTATTCTGGACCTCGATCGGGTATTAACCCCCTAGCTGTTGCTGTGAGTTTTGAAATCCCCGGCCGGGAAGCTGAAATACCCGACCGGGTATTATGGTCGGGGATCGCGAACTGCTGATTTTTAAGGGAAAGAAGACCAATTTTTGAAGGGTTCTGAGTTTTAGAGATAGAAAGCAGATACCTAGAGAGAGAGTGACGAACCAGAATCTCCAAGCGCCCTAGATCAATCTTCATAACCATTGGAGCTTGGCTTAAGCTTGGAGAAGTGTCGATTGCCAGAAGTAGAATCTCACCCTTCACAGCATGGTTTCCGCATCTGAGCTAGATTTCCCTTCTCTCTCTATGGAGTAAACTCTCTCACTCACCTGGGTATGAAGAAACCTAGATTTGTATGTTAGGTCTGATTGTATGAACCCAAGTATGAATTCATTGATATTGATTATATTCAATTGAGGTTTGATTTCTTGAATGACATGAATCTTGATCAAATTCCTGTTATTTTTGCTTTGACCTAGAAAGAGAATATCTGCCTAGGTTGATAGAGCACCCTTGATTAAAGGTAGTGAATTGACGACTTTAGTCGAGGAGTCAATTCACTATTATGTACCGGATTTACTCCCGTAAAGGAGGTTTGGTTCGTTAGGGCCTCAATCTGTTTACTCCGGTGGAGGTTAGTCGCCCGCTGGGGATTCAGATTGAGAGGGTCTGGAGACCTTTAGTCGAGACTGCAGACTGCTTAAGAACCTCCCGCGGTATAACTATCATTGAACTTGAACTTGGTGAATTACAACCTGGCTTAACTGCAATATAGGGGGAAGTATATCCGGGTGACCTTTCTCAACTTTGAACACAACTTTCACTGCTTTTGCTTGCTAGTTTAGTTAGACCTTCACTATACTTGAACCGCTAAATAATAAGATTTTCACGGAGTAGTCATCACAACTAAGACCCGGGTTGACATTTAGAACTAAACCCGCTATACTACGCATTAGTAGGTGGTTACACTTGGCCACTTTCTAGTGTGACGGTAGAGGCGTGTCAAGTTTTTGGCGCCGTTGCCGGGGACGGCTAGGTTGTTGAAGAAACGTGATTTATGTTATTTTAGCATTTATTTTCCGCATTGATTGTTTGTTTTTTCCGACTTGTGCCTTCACGGGTTTGCTTGCTTGGCTGTTTGCAGGTAGTGCAGGACCCGTAGCCAGTCGGGAGGTTTACTACCGTTTGATCCGGAGCTAGTACGCACCTTTCGCCAGCTAAGGAGAAAACTGTGAGCAAGACTGGCTACAGAGGAAGTGCACGTCGACGACCATCTGAGCAACGACTCCGAAGCGGAATACGATAACAATAGGGGGAACCTTAACCTGGGGCAGAATCAACCCCTCGGGATGCCCATTCAGGTTCCTTCGGTGAATCAGATCCTGGGGAACAACCCATTTCCCCAGGCAGATGGGGCTCAGCATCCACCATCCCCGCCGGGTCCTACTATGGAGTACTACTACACTCCACGGGTCGCCGACATCTGCCCCATCATCCTGTATCCGCCCATCCCAATAAATAACTTTGAGATCAACCCATGCTAGATTCAACTGATTACATCCTCTATCCAGTTCCATGGCTTGAAGGATGAAGAGGCGAGGGTTCACCTTTCCCGGTTCCTACAGTTGACAAATGGATTCAAAATGAATGGTGTACCCGATGATGCGATCCGCCTCCACCTTGTCCCCCATTCTCTGGTGGGGCATGCGAAGAGGTGGTTAGAGACTCATCCCCCACTGTCCATGTGGCCGACAAGTTTGTGCAAAGGTACTATCCGGCCTCGAAGACCACGGGGATTCAGCAGGAGATCACTCATTTCCACCAGGATCCAGATGAGTCACTACGTGATGCTTGGGAGCGGTACTCGATATTCTTCTGTCAGTGTCCCCATCACGGTTTCAGTGATGCATTCATAGTGTGGAATTTCTACAACGCTCTGACCCCAGAGAGCCAGAGGGTGATCGAGTCTCTATGCCCAGGAGGGGATATTCTCACCAAGACTCCACCCGAGCTGAATCAGATGATCAGTACTCTGGCTGCCAGGGATCATTCTTGGGGGTAGAGCACCAGAAGTAGGAGTTCCCGGGACCGAGGTGTGCACGCCATGGAGGCTAGGTCCGGGCTAGAGCGGGAGGTGGCCGAGTTGGTCCAGACATTGAAGCAGCCCAACAGTCTTATTCCGGGCAGAGGTCTGGCCAGGCCTTCAGTTGCACAGTGCCAGTGGTGTGAGAGTTCGAACCATCTGGTAGAAGACTGCTAGGCTATGCGGGAGTCTTCTACGCCCCAGGAGCTGTTGGACTTCATCGCCAATGCTCGGCGCCTTGATCCGTACAGTGGAACATACAATGAGGGGTGGCGCCAACATCCCAACTTCTCTTGGAATGGTAACAACAGCAACACCACCAAACCACATGATTTCCCAGCACCAGCTGGTGGTTTTCAGCAGAGCAGCCCTTCCAGGCCCGACAGGGTCCATTTTCGCAGCAGTAGCCTTACCAGCCCAGACAGGGGCAACCATTTCAGTAGCCGCATCGCTAGTATGCCGAGCCACCAGCAGCTCCAGCTCCAGATAATCAGGTAAGCGAAAACATTCTGGCGGCATTCATGACTACCAGCCAAGAGAATTTTGCCAGGATGGACTAGAGCATTACCTCACCGGAGGCAGGTCAGAGGAACCAAGGTGCCATATTGCAGGACCTCCAGAATTAGATTGGAGGAATAGCTCGCCAGAACAATACCAGGCACCGGGATCTCTACCTGCCACCACCATCCCCAATCCGCGTGAGCCTCACCAACAGCTGAATGCCATCACTACTAGGAGTGGCAAGCGAACATCAGCTGTACCTGCCCCGGCAAGGTAGGAGGAGCCACTACCTGCTTCAGCACTTCAGTCGATGATGCAGAAGTGAGGATGGAGAAGGAAGCACCTGCTCCCAAGCCACATCCAGTGGTTAAGGAGCATGTCCCACAGCTTCCCTTCCCCACTCGAATCCACAGTTTGCAAATTCATGCAATGCTGAAGTAGGTCAACATCAGCCTGCCGTTCGTGGAGGCACTGTCGAAGATGCCCAAGTATGCCAAATTCATGAAGGATCTCCTTACCAACAAAAAGCGACTTGGGGGATCTCTCGACAGTGATGCTGAGCGAGGAGTGCTCAGCCATTCTATAGAGCAAGCTGCCACAAAAGCAGAAGGACCCAGGTAATTTTACTATCCCGTTCTTCATTGGCAAATTACATGTAGAGAGGTCCCTGGCGGATCTAGGTGCTAGTATCAATGTTATCCCATACAAATTGTTCAAAAAACTAGGCCTAGGTGAACCTAGAGCAACTAGGATGAGTATTCAATTAACTGACAAATCTGTGGTTCATCCTAGGGGTATAGTGGAAGACCTCCTGGTTAAGGTTGGCAGGTTTTGTTATCCTGTGGATTTTGTTGTCTTAGACATCAATGAAAACACAGAAGTGCCCCTTATTCTAGGAAGGCCCTTCCTGGCCACCGCCAGGGCCCTCATAGATGTCCGTGATAGGACTTTGGTCTTGAGAGATGCGAGGAACAGATAACTTTCTCTATCACTAATAATATGCATGGTGCCTCGCCTGTGCATACTATTTTTCACCAGGTGCACGAGCCTATCGTATATCCTTTTGTGCCTCTCATTTTGCAGGAACCCCCTCTCAATCGTTCAGCGCCACTCCCTTCGACCTCAATACCAAACAAAACGATCAAGGAGGAGTGGCGGCCGAAGTCGCAGGCAGCTAAGCCTGCTCGAAGGAAAGGTGGCAACCACTATGAGTTGGTCCCACCTCCTGAACCACGACCACCCTGGCCATCCGAGTACTCACTCGCTCGCATCCTACCGGATGGCCAGGTAAAGCTTACAAATGCTGGTGGTCACACCTGTCGGGTGCATGGTCACCATCTGAAGGTGTACCTCAAGAGCGATGTGGATCCGCTATTGGAGGCACCTGTTCCTACACCCCTCTTAGCATCCACCATGGGCGTCCATCTAAAAGACGACAAAGAAGCGCTTGTGGGGAGGCAACCCCACCACGTTTTGCATTTCTTTTTCCCTTTTTCCTTTGTTTTGTGGTGTGTTCGAGTCAGTTGCACGTCTATGATGAAGTTAGGTCGTTTGATCTGCCTCGGTTAGGTGTTTTCGTGCAAGGGTGTTTGAAAAATTGAGAAAAATGCATTTTGGCCAAAAATGGGTAAATACCCGGTTGTGCCTCAAAATACCCAACCGAGTATTTTGGCGTCACGGTCGGGACCCATTCTGCCCAGGGGGCGTGGAAAAGGGAAATCCCCGACCTTGACCCAAAAATCCTCGGCCGGGATTTTTGCTTCTCGACCGGGTTTTTCCTTAGTCAGAAAAAGCCGCGTTGCAGGAATACCCGACCGCGGCCATAAAATACCCGACCGTTTTTCGGTGACCTTCCGGCGGGTTTTCCGGCGAACTTTTTAGGCCCGTTTTTTGGCGTGGTTTCGCATCCCTCACCCCCTACACGGGTCCCCTCTACGGTCCTACTTGTGTTTCCAGGTGTGTTGCTTTCTCAATTTGTTCTTTTTTCGAGAAAATCATACTGTAGATGTTAGGACCGAGAATTATGAATTGCCGGCATGTTTGAATTAGAATAAGGTGAGGGATGCCGTGGTTGGAATTGGCAAATGCATGCTTGATGTTCTTATGCTTGAATGTGTCTTGTTCAATCCTGCTTGAATTGCGGTTGTTTTGCTTGCAAATCGACCGTTTGTGCGTGATTGCTTACCATAGATGTCCTTAAAGTGTGGGGGAACTGTTGAACCCATGCTTGTGGTCCTAACGAGTATTTTATTGGCTCCACCTTTGGTTTATTTTGGAGGATCGTGTCTCTCGACCATCCATTCATGCAGGACCTGCGCCTGCACCCAGAGTACGCTGACCAGTACTGTCGGGTCATACGCTGGGTGATCCAGCGCCATCACCACTTGGAGTGGGGGGTTTTCACCAGCTCCACTTCCTGAACGAGATCTCCACCGCCATTAGCCACCCTTACTAGCAGATTCTGCTATGCATCGAGGAGCCCACTTACACGGAGCTGGTGTGTGAGTTCTACACCACATTCCGGTACCGCTCTAAAGCGGCCCGGGACTCCCCCAACGGTGTCACCTTTAGGCTGGGCGGGCACCTACGGGAGATGGGCATCGATGGGCTGGCCTATGCACTGGGCCTCCACTACCACCCATACTTTTGCTACGAGATCGAGATCCCCCATCTGAAGGACTGAAACTAGGACGCGTTCAACCGCCGCATAGCTCGTCGTGCCTATGGGATGGACTACTTCGATGCCGGCCAGACATACGTCTCCACCCTCAAGCCATAGTGCCACATCCTCAACCTCCTGATCACCCACTCGATCGTCCCCAACGTCACTGGTTCCCACAAGATACCGAAGCGGGTGCTCTACGCCATGTACTCGATGGGGGAGCCGGATCACATACTGCATTTGGGTTCTTTCGTGGCCACCACCTTCTCTCGGTGCCACCGGAAACCCAACCACCTATTTTGTGGTCCCCTGATCACAAGGGTGGCGCGCCATTTCGAGATCGACTTGGCGGGACTTACTGATGCCACAGCACGGGGCGGCTCCACCCCTCTCAGCCGGGAGGTGCTTCACAATGCGCTCCTGCTGGCCTCTGATGGACGGCGATCGTGAGTGGATGGGTTGTCTCTGCCTCCCGAGGAGGATGCAGATAATGATGATGATGAAGACGAGGAGGACGAGGACTACACCGGCGCGAATGAGGCCGATGATGATGATGATGGCGGGGCCATAGATGCTGATGAGCCGGAGCCTCCGCTCTCCCCCCCAGGGGATCTTCAGCCACGACGGAGACCCGAGCGAGGCGAGTCCTCCTCCGGTCCATCTGGTTCGTCAATGGATTCTATTCCGTCAATGGACTTCTTCATGGAGCAGTTCCATCAGATGGGGCTCCAGTTTCAGCAGCTTGGGGTCAAGAACCAGCAGCTCATGGACCATCAGGTCCAGTTTTACCAGAAGTATTCGGCCCACTAGGCCGAGTACCACTCTCGGATGGTGGTTCTGGACGAGTGCCTCGACCGGATGGAAGCTCAGCAGGGAGTCACCAGTGCTCGTATCGAGCGGGATCGTAACTGCCGAATGATGGAGTATCAGGAGCACCTGTTCCAGTCCTTCCATCCGCCAAAGGAGCACCACTGGACTACCCGGTGGGACCACTCACCACCCCCACCACCAGTGCCGCACAGGGTTGACGATCTCATGGAGCAGATCTACTTCAGCCAGCTCGAGTAGGCTGTACTCGCTGGTCCTTTTGTGTTTGTTTCATTTTGAGTCAGAGCGCAAACTGAATGTGGTGTTTTGTTTGGGTTGTTTTCTTTTCCTTTGGATGATGTACTATTGGGCTGACAATTGACCTAACATATCTGTGCTTGAGTGATTGTGTCTTCTTTAGTCGTGCCTTTGCACCGACTGGTCCACCTTCTAGTCTCACTACAGTATGTGCATACCGGTAACATTATTCCCCTTATCCTTCCCTCTTCTCCATTGAGGGCAATGTCGAACTTAAGTGTGGGGGGGATGTTTATATTTGATTTTTTAGATCTGTTTGTGTGCTTGGAGCCTAGCCCGTTGTTCAAATTTCGATTTGAGGGCTCCAAGTACGTGTTCCTTGCAAATTGCCTGCTCATTATGCTTTGAATTAACAGTCTTTGTGGTGATATGCAACCTAGGGAGGTAGTGTAGCACTATGGAGGATGTTGAACTATAAGATTTTCCTATCTATCTCTCTGCTGTGCCGGTTGATTTTGTGAATTAGTGGAGTTAAGACCGTTGAATTCATGTGGTATTGGTGACTCCTTTTGAATTGTGTTGTGGACTCGTGTATCAAACAAGGTGCTCATGTGTGAACTGAAAAGCAGTTGGTCCCCCATGTCGGAATAATTGGCATCTTAAACATGGGGTAAGCCCAACGTGTGTGGCACCGTTCATTGCACAAAATTGGGTTTTGGAAGAGATTTTAGTGATCCTTAGTGGGGTACTCCTACAAGGTGAAGCTAATTTGTCTCTAGTACAAGTAAAATTTCCACCTGTTGAACGGTTTGCCTTCTCGAGGATGTGTTTTAAGGGCACAGATACAGCTTCCGACCCCCCTTAATTTCATTGACCCTCCACACGAGTTGAGGAAGAGGAGTTGAAAGAAGTACTCTGGCGAGTGACAGATGTACAGAAATTGCTCTTGCTCAACTAATAAGGGTTGACCATACAAAAGAGTGCAGTTGGAACCCCCGCCAAGTGAATGGAAAAAAAATGTAAAATGAAAGTGCAAAAAGGGGTTCCAACGGTTGAAATAAAGTGAAAAGGCACCCCGGTATAATGAGTCCTTGGTTGTTGAATGGTGTGAGTCCCTTTACCCATGAACTGATTGTCTTAATTCCAATGCTTCTCATGATCCTGGTTTGAGTCTAGCACTCGCATTGAGAAAGATAGGGGATGTCTTAGAAGACCAATTGACCTCGCAAGCTGCTAAATGATCTAGAACGTCCTCTACCGACGATCGAGGGTGTTTGTTGCTATAGAGGTCTGGAGAGCTGCATTGGTTTGAGTTAGGTTTGCTTGGGGACAAGCAAACGGTTAAGTGTGGGGGAATTTGATATACCATTGATTGCACATGTTTATACCTCCATTCTTGAGCCGTTTGAGAGTCGATTCTCGTGTTTTAAGCCGATTTCACGCTAGGTTGTGTGTTTATGTCATATTTCAGGACTTGGCGTTGACGTGAAGGCAAGGAAATGAGTTTCGGGTAAAAAAGGAGGACACTGGAGTGAAGGGCGCTGGAAGAGGAAAATACCCGGCCAGGAGTTAAAATACCCGGCCGGGTAAAATGCAAAGAGAGGCCGGGAAAAGTGCTTTGGACGCCAAAATGGCAGAAGGGGTCCCGGCCGGAGAGCTAAAATACCTGATCGGGTATTCTGGACCTCGATCGGGTATTAACCCCCTAGCTGCTGCTGTGCGTTTTGAAATTCCCGGTCGGGAAGCTGAAATACCCGACCGGGTATTATGGTCGGGGATCGCGACTTGCTGATTTTTAAGGGAAAGAAGATCAATTTTTGAAGGGTTCCGAGTTTTAGAGATAGAAAGCAGATACCTAGGGAGAGAGTGACGAACCAGAATCTCCAAGCGCCCTAGATCGATCTTCATCACCATTGGAGCTCGGCTTAAGCTTGGAGAAGTGCCGATTGATTGCTAGAAGCAGAATCTCACCTTTCACAGCATGGTTTCCGCATCTAAGCTAGATTTCCCTTCTCTCTCTATGGAGTAAAGTCTCTCACTCACCTGGGTATGAAGAACCCTAGATTTGTATGTTAGGTCTGATTGTATGAACCCAAGTATGAATTCATTGATATTGATTATATTCAATTGAGGTTTGATTTCTTGAATGGCATGAATCTTGATCAAATTCCTGTTATATCTGCTTTGACCTAGAAAGAGAATATCTGCCTAGGTTGATAGAGCACCCTTCATTCAAGGTAGTGAATTGACGACTTTAGTCGAGGAGTCAATTCACTATTATGTACCAGATTTACTCCGGTAGAGGAGGTTTGGTTCGTTAGGGCCTCAATTTGTTTACTCCAGTGGAGGTTAGTCGCCCGCTGGGATTCAGATTGAGAGGGTCTGGAGACCTTTAGTTGAGAATACAGACTGCTTAAGAACCTCCCGCGGTATAACTATCATTGAACTTGAAGTTGGTGAATTACAACCTAGCTTAACTGCAGTCTAGGGGTAACCATATCTGGGTGACCTCTCTCAACTTTGAACACAACTTTCACTTATTTTGGTTGCTAGCAAGGTTGTCAACCCACGGGTTGACCCGGACCCGGTTGAGCTAGTGGGTCAAGGGTTAATGGGTCACTCGTTTTAGCCCGGTTTAGCGCGGAAATATGGAAAGCGTCATTATATTGTATTTATCCTGATAAATTATATCAAATATCATCTAACATATGAGTTATAACATATAATATTACACCAAAATAACATTTCGTACTTAGATTCAACATATAGTGAAAATTCACACACACTTATATAACATTAATATTCAAATGTTCAACTTAGGATTCCAAAGATTGAGTTAGGCGAAAAGAAAAATCGGAAAATAGGCACATTTCGCAAAACAAAGAAAAAAATGACACAATTTGACATCCAACCCGGTACCTTGTGGCGGTCGACCCGGCGGGTGCATGCAGCCCGTTTTTCTCACCGGGTAAGGGTCAAAGTGGGTCAACCCGCGGGTCGACTCGCGGGTTGACAACCTTGGTTGCTAGTTTAGTTAGACCTTCACTACACTTGAACTGCTAAATAATAAGATTTTCACGGAGTAGTCATCACACCTAGGACCCGGGTTGACATTTTGAACTAAACCCGCTATACTACGCATTAGTAGGTGGTTACACTTGGCCACTTTCTAGTGTGACGGTAGAGGCGTGTCAATAGTAATTACCACTTCCGCTTTCCCCTTCCCCTTCCTCCTCCGCCTTTCTCTACGTTGTTGTAATAGGTTACATATACAAATTACAGATTTGGTACCCAAACTTAATATATCTTAGGGGTCGTTTGGAAGTTACGATTGTTTTGTTGAGATTGTCATTATGCATGTATTGTTTACAATGCATCATTTTTTTATTTTTTTAGCAGAAACAATACATGGATTGTTTCTATGATGTGACAGAAACTATCACTCATTTTGAGTGATTGTTATATCTCAACTTTTAGTTGTGATTGTTGAGATAGTTGAGTTGAGATTGTGTTGTCTCAGCTTTTAGCTGATGCGATATACACAATCACACATACCAAACGTTGTATTCTACAATGCATCAAATTCGACAATACATGTATAATATTATACATGCATTCTCAACAATACATCTATTTAACAATCGCAACTTCCAAACGCCCCTTAATGTTTAGTGCCTAAAATTAATTTTTTTACATATAAGTCCTAAATATATTGATGGAAAATTACACTTTAGTACCTTCAATTTTTTCTCTTACATTTTAATTGCTGAACTTTTAAAATTATACAAATAGGTCCACTTTTAAAGAAACTTCGGAGTGACTTTAAGAAACTTGCAGCCTAGATTTTGTGGTTTGTGGCTTGGATTTTGTGGGGTGGATTTTGTAGTTTGTGGAGAGGATTATTTGTGGAGAGGATTTTGTGGTTTGTGGGGAGGGGAGGATTATGTGGTTTGTGGGAATGATTATTTGTGGAGAGGATTTTGTGGCTTGTGAGGAGGATTATGTGGTTTGCGGGAAAGATTATTTGTGAAGAGGATTTTGTGGTTTGTGGGGAGGATTATGTGGTTTGTGGGGTGGATTTTCTCCTTCCCTTTCATTAATTATGGTCAACTCGTTTAAATGAAAATGTCATCCAAACAAAATATTACTATTTGTTGCTAGTGTTAACACGATGCTAATAAAAAAAAGTGCTAGCACACTAGCCTAACCCATAAGAAGGGGCAAAATGAATTTTATTTAAATTTTAAATTTTAAATTTTATTTATTTAATTGGATATTGGCTTACATTAGTTTTCCAGCTCAGCAATTAAATTGCTACATCAGAGTCAATTGATGTTCAAACAAATGGAAAGTTAACGGATTGGCTATTGTCTTGTTTTTTAAAAGGTGTGTCCATTATTTTGTTTAAGATCAAAAGGTTTGGCTAATATTTTAGGGTAATGTCTATTTTTTATCCAAAATTTTCTAATTCTTTTATATTATTCAAACCTATTAAAATTCTATTAATAAGCCAAATCATTCATAATGCATCAAAATATTAACCATTTTTAAGTTATCGTTAATAATTTTGTAACTCTTTTCTTAGTTAAAATACAATTTTTTTGGAATGTTGACCTTCATGTGTCTCTTCTAAGTCAGTATCATATTGCCAAGTCAATATTACTAGAAAAATTGATATTGAAAGTTAACATTTGGCTAATTCTTAGTATTTTGATAGGTTTGGATAATATAAAAGAATCTGAAAAAGGTTTGGATAAAAAATAGACAGTACTCTATATTTTATTTACCCTAAAATATATGTAGTTTAAAAGTTACTAATTGTATATTTAGATATTTGAAAATGATGTTGTTTCGATGATTGATTTTGAAGTGTGAATTTCTAATGATCAGTATGTTATTGATTAATAAATATTGAAGTTTTTTCAGATACTAAAGATATCGTCGATGCGCTCTTATTCTCCAGAAAAATAGTAAGTTTTTACGAGATACAAATCATTATAGTCAGTCGTCAACACTATGATTATAACAGCACAAATTTATCAATCAGACATTAACGTGGACGTCATAATCTTCAAATGAATTCCACTAGACTAAACTATCTATTCTGTCTCATTGCACTAGGAATTGATCTCATGCATAGCCTTGTGGTGAGTAATCAAGCATAATCCAATCACCATCTGCCACATCAGCCCCCCTTCTCTCTCCTGAAAAGTCTTTAATTTTTCCACTTAATATTATTGGACGATTTCTCACTCAATTAAGTAAGAATTTAAATTTTTTTGCACAGTTAGATCATATTAATTGTGCTCTTCAAAATGATACTCACTTTGATATTTTTTGGAACAAAAAAATTGAGCCATTTTTTACTAGTATATACCATATTGTATTAACTGGTATTAAATAAGAGCATACCATATGGTATGAAAACGCTTACCATGGTGGTATGAATATACCAAGACTGTAGGATGATTGAATGCATGATAGTGGGAGTATACTAACTGTCATTTACGACTTTCAATATTGTGTACCACAAGATACCACATCATACGAGGGTGGTATTGTGTGGTATTTTTTTGTCTTGTAATTTGTTCACCCAGAAATTTGTAGATCCAATAGATCATGATGAACTCGTTCATTCTATACAAAAATTTTCAAAAATGACTTAAAAACGAAGAAGATATCATACGGTATGCAGTTGGTAACGAGAGGCAAGAAATGTTTTTCTCAAAATATATTGAAAGTGAATCTCATTTTGTAAAGCACAACGAACTCGTTCCATCTGTGCAAAAAGAAATTGAAACCCGAGTTAAAACGAAGAAAATATGAGTTAATTAAGAAAACAAGGAAAAATGAAATTATCTTTAATTCTCCATGATTAGATCTGAATTTTCTGCGTCCACTTAAATTGATGACTGAGATTTGGTTATTCATTTCTAACCATATCAGTATGTTATTGATTAATAAATATTGAATTTGTTTCAGATACTAAAGATACCGTCGATGCGCTCTTATTCTCCAGAAAAATAGTAAGTTTCTACAAGATACAAATCGCTATAATCAGTCGTCAACACTAGGATTATAACACATCAATTGCGGACAAATTTATCAACCGAACATCAACGTGGACGTCATAATCTTCAAGAACTCCACTAGCCTAAACTGTCAATTCAGTCTCATTGCACTAAGAACGGATCCCATGCATAACCTTGTGGTGAGTAACCATACATAATCCAATCACCATCTGCCACATTAGCGTCCCTTCTCTCTACTGGAAAGTCTTTAATTTTTTCCACTTAATCTTTAATAGATGATTTCTCACTCATTTTAATTAAGAATTTAATGTTTTTTGCACTGTTAGATCATATTAATTGTGCTCTTCAAAATGATATCCACTTTGATATATTTGGAACAAAAAAATATTGAGCCATTTTTTACTAGTATATACCATATAGTATTAAGTGGTATTAAATAAGAGCATACCATATGGTATGAAAACGCTTACCATGGTGGTATGAACATACCAAGACTGTAGGATGATTGAATGCATGATAGTGGGAGTATACTAACTGTCATTTACGACTTTCAATATTGTGTACCACAAGATACCACATCATACCAGGGTGGTATTGTGTGGTATTTTTTGGTCTTGTATTTTTTTCACCCAGAAATTTGTAGATCCAATAGATCATGATGAACTCGTTCATTCTGTGCAAAAATTTTCAAAAACGACTTAAAAACGAAGAAGATATCATATGGTATGCAGTTGGTAACGAGAGTCAAGAATTTTTTTTCTCAAAAAATATTGAAAATGGATCTCATTTTGTAAATCACAACGAACTCGTTCCATCTGTACACAAAATATTGAAACCCAAGTTAAAACGAAGAAGATATGAGTTGATTAAGAAAACAAGGAAAAATAAAATTACCTTTAATTCTCCATGTTTATATCTAAATTTTTTTAGTCTACTTAAACTGATGACTGAGATTTGGTTACTCATTACTAACCGTATCAGCAGCCCATTGCGCTAGGATAGTAGGACCTCAAATCTTTCGAGCTTTGGTTTGGTGAATGGATTGGTCCAACACAAAGAGAACAAGGCCGAACATTTTCATATTTGAAACCAAAAAGTACAATTACAATTTACAAACCCAGAATAATTTACACTTCCTTATTCCAACGCACTCCCCTCCCCAAATTGGCCCATACTCAAACATAGGCCCAAACCCAAAATCCAATAACAAAAGCCCCAAAACACGTTACATGCCCAAGCAAAAAAGCCCCAAATACCATCTTTTCCCCCTTCTTCTTAAGCATAGCTGTCGGAAGTTGCGACTGGGGTGTGGCACCCAATGAAAATGTCTCTGTAGATTAGCCCAGCCAATCCACCTCCGATTAGAGGGCCGACCCAGTAGACCCAGTTTCCAGTGAAGTTTCCGGCGATGACAGCTGGGCCGAACGATCGGGCCGGGTTCATGGATCCACCGTTTAATGGGCCGGCAGCCAAAATGTTGGCGCCCATGACGAACCCAATTGCAATGGGCGCAATGGTACCGAGGGATCCCTTCGTGGGGTCCGCGGCCGTGGCATAGACTGTGTACACGAGCCCAAAGGAGATCACGATCTCCATTACTAGCCCTTGGATCTCATTCATCCCTGCTGCAACTCCATGGGTTGGGATGCTCTGTCCCAACTAGGGATGGGAATCTGGATCCGGTTTTCAGTTCCAACCGGAAACCGTAATCCCAATAACCCAATCCAATTGGCAGTTGCTTGTTGTCTGGGAAAAACCGGCCCGGTCCGGTTTAAAACTGGGAAACTGTTTAAAACTGGATGGGTCCAACCCACTAAATTATTACTAACTAACCAGGCCCATTTCTTATGAACCCAACACAAAATTACCCAACCCACTAACCCACCTAGGCAGTCCAGCAGACCAGCACAACAAGGGGGAAAACCCTAATCGCCTAATGCCTTAATCGCCGTCCCCTTCCAATTTCCATCTCCATCTGCGCAGCTGAGGACTGAAGTGCTCTCGCCTCTGCTCTATCCCTCGGCGACGACGACAAGGCAAACAGCTGGCGACGACGAGGCAAACGACGGCGCCGTCATCTCCCTTCGATCTCCGTTCGTTCGAGAGCATTCCGCAGTCGATCTCTCCCGTCTCCTGTACATCTCCCTTCGAGCGCCATCATCTCACCCCTCACCAAACTCAATCGACGAGCAGACGACACCTCCAGACTCCGGCGAGCGGCGACGACCTCGGTAGAAGTAGAACGACGGTAAGTCTCTGACCCTCGCCTCTCCATTTCTCATGGATTTCCCGTCAATCCAGCCATCCCCTGAGTTTATAGATCACTGAATGCAGGCATGCAGCCGCCCCAGCCACCAGCAGCGCCGTTCCCACTTCCTCCCAGCAGCAGAAAACCAGGCTGACAACTACAAATCGAGAGATTCAAGGAAGCAGCAGCGCCTGGGTAAGTTCGAGGAAGCCGAGGGTTTGAGAACTGGGAAAAGTTTGAACATTGCAAATTCTTATTCTGTAATTGTGTTATGTCTTGTGTAATTTGATTACAAGTAGGAAGAAACTAATTAGATTGAGATGGGGGCTAATACATATCGAGATGGGTGGGCTATATACTTATATATATATACTAGATTGTAACACTCACATGCATGATGCATTATCTTCAAGAATTATATTCGAGAGCCTTTTCACCTCTCCATTTGTTCATTTCTCTTGGTTCTTCTTTCCGAATCTAAAAACAGATACAAAAACCATTTCCACATTCATTGCTAGCACTTCCTATTTGTTCTTCTTTCCCGATCAACAGATTATTTGAGATCAAAATGTTATGAATGGGTGCTTTTATTTCTTATTCTTCTGACCCCAACAACAACAACAACAATAACAATGACCCCAACAATGAGTTCAACTCTAATGGTGTTGATGATGATGACTATGAGGATGAAGATGCCTTTGTGAATAATAAGTGATACACTCTATTTTATGATGGTTGTTTTTATCAATTTGATATGTGAATGTTAAGTTGTTAATTATTAATTTGTTATTGTTGTGACTTGTGAATTAGTTTACAATACCATTGTGGTGGAGGAAGAAGAGAGGCAAGCACGTGAGTGACACGCCAAAACACAACACCAATCTGCGACCAAGTATAATCGCAGACCGGGAATGCAGTAACAGGCAAGTTATATTATCAACCCGGGGTCTAGGTCTACTGCTTACTCAGTGATTCTCTATTATCTAGCCAACTAAAGTAAGTGATTGTTGTTTAAAAGCAAAAGCAGAAAGAAAGTAGGAATTGATACGGTTTTCTCAAGCAGGTAAGAGTCACTCGGGAATGAATCCCCCTAGCTCCTTAGTTAGGTTTCAATTGTATTTCCCTGGGTTGAGTGCACATTTGCCCGTGCCAGATTATGCGAGAGCAAACACGGCCAGGGCAAATTTCCACACGGCCGTGCCTACATCTCATCTGGCCGTGTGGAATTCTGCGAGAGCTCACACGGCCAAACCTATTTTCCACACGGCCGTGTGACATTCAGGGCTGGCCGTGTGAGCTGCCTGAACTCCGAAAATGACCTGTTTTCACTCCAGAACGACAAAAAATCAAAAGGAAAAAGGTAAGAAAATGCAAACCTAGGTGGGGTTGCCTCCCCACAAGCGCTTCTTTACCGTCTTTTAGCTGGACGCCAGTCGGTGGATGCTCAATGAGGTGAAGGAGCAGGTGCCTTCAAGAGCGGATCCACCTCGCTTTTGAGGTACAACTTCAAGTGATGGCCATGCACACGCCGAATGTGGCCACCAGCATTTACCAACTCAACTTGGCCATTCGGCAGGATGCAAGCGAGTGAATACTCGGATGGCCAAGGTGGGGGTGGGACCAGCTCATAGTGGTCTCCGGCCTTCTTTCGAGCAGGTTTAGCTGCCTGCTGTTTCGGCCGCCACTCCACCTTAATCTGTTCCTTCGATGACGGAGTGGACGGGAGTGGCGGCGAAGGTATGGGGGCGGATCCTGCAAAATAGGCAACACAGAAGGATACACGACAGACTCGTGCTCCTGGTGAGATACAGCATTCAAAGGTGACGAAGCAGAACGAGTATTAGAAATTGAAAACGCTATTCGCTCCTCACCATCCCTCAAAACTAAGGTCCCATCATGCACATCTATGAGGGCCTTGGCGGTGGCCAGGAAAGGCCTTCCTAGTATCAATGGCACATCCACATCCTCATTTATGTCCAAAATTACAAAATCAACAGGATAATTGAATTTGCCAACCTTAACCAGAAGGTCTTCCACTATGCCCCTAGGATGCACTACAGATCGGTCAGCTAATTGAAGGCTCGTCCTAGTAGCACGGGGTTCACCTAGACCTAGTTTCTTAAACAGTTTATATGGCATAACATTGATACTAGCACCTAAATCCGCCAAGGACCTCTCTACATGCAAATTTTCTATAGAGCACGGGATAGTAAAACTACCTGGGTCCTTCTGTTTCTTCGGAAGCTTGTTCTGCAGAATGGCCGAGCACTCCTCGCTGAGTTCCACAGTGGCCAGCTCGCTCAGCTTCTGCTTCTTTGAGAGAAGATCCTTCAGGAACGTCGCGTACTTAGGCATTTGAGATAGTGCCTCCAAGAAAGGTACTTGGACATTCAGCTTCCTAAGCATGGCCATGAAGTTCTCGAACTCTGCCTCCACCCTGTCTTTGTGCAACCGAGTAGGGAAGGGGAGTTTAGGGATATACTCCTTCACTACTGGTTGCGGTTTAGGTGCAGGCACCTCAACCTCCTTCTCTGCTTCTTCTTCAGTCACTGGGGATGCCGAGGCAGGGGCCTCTCTCTCTTGTGCCCGAGCAGGTGGATCAACAGTCATCTTGCCAATCCTTGTCATGATGCATTGCAGTGCTGATTCGGGTTCTGAGGGTGAGGGATGGTCTGACCGGGCAAAGTACCAGGAGCCCTTTGTGCCACTGCTTGAGCCACACTCCCCAGCTGGGTTTGGATATCCTGCAAGACAGCCTGTGTGTTCCTCTGGCCAGCTTCAAGAGCCAGGAATTTACCCGATGCCTTTTCCATGAACTGCTCGATAGTGTTAAATTTTTGAGCACTAGAACTGGCGAGAAAACCCACCAATTCCCGCAGTTCAGCCATCTGATCATTCTACACTGGGGCGGCAGGGGCTGCACCTGGCTGCTGGAAAGGTCGCGGCTGTGATGGAGCAGCATGCCCCTGCATGGGCTGGTAGAGAGACTGCTGGTTCTGGAATTGCCCCTGTCTGGGCTGATATGGTGGCCTCTGGAAGCCCGGTGGTCCCTGGGGGACTGGTGGTCTGGAATTTGCCCCACCCCAGGAGAAGTTGGGATGCTGGCGCCACCCCTCATTGTAGGTGTTACTGTAGGGGTCATTGCGCCTGACATTGTTGATGAAGTTCACCTGCTCCTGGGGTGTGGTCGATTCCTTCATCGCCTGGCAGTCTTCCACTGTATGATGGGTGCTCTCGCACCACTGGCAGTGCATCGCCTGCGGCTGTCCTATACCTGCAATCAAACCAGAACGATCGATAGCTGAGACCAGCTTCGATACTACCTGTACCAAATCAGATGATTGGGTGCCCACAGCATGCACACCCCGTCCTGGTGCTCGTCTCGATCTCTTGGAAGTGCCCCAATCGTACCCGTTCTCCGCCATCTCCTCAAAGAGTTGATTTAGCTGTGGCGGTGTTTTGGTCAGCATGTTCCCGCCACAAACCGAATCAATCAGCTGCTTGTCCTCCGGGAAGAGGGCGTGATAGAAAGTGCCCACCTTGAACGCATCATTGAAACCATGATTGGGACACCTGAGGAAAAGACTAGTGTATCTCTCCCAAGCATCCCTGATGGTCTCATCCTCATCCTGGGTGAAGTGGGTCATCTGCTTCTGCAAGTCCGCCGTCTTCGACGGAGGATGGTAGCGGGTAAGGAACTTGTCCGCCAGGTTGGCGAACGTGGTGATGGAGCCCGGAGGTCGAGTGTCCAGCCACTCCTTGGCCTGCCCCTCCAGGGTGAATGGGAAGTACCTCAGCTGGATGGCATCTGCTGGTACCCCATTGATCTTGATTCCATCAATGAGCTCGTGGAATTGCCTGAGATGTGATCGGGGGCACTCCCCCTCCTTACCACGGAACACCACTGAACCGCGCAGCATGGTGATCACTGAGGTGCTCACCTCAAAATTGTTGGCTGGGACATGAGGATGTTGAATGGGTGACCTCATGTCCGCAGCTCTAGCGGTCCAGTAGGATCCCATGGTCTGCTCCTCAGGGATCACATCATGGTTCCCTGGATCAGCCATCTCTTCTTCTTCTTCCTCTAACTGCAGCTGTGATAGCGCCTCCTCCGCAGCCAGTCGCGCCTTTAGAGCCCGCTTGAAGTTTCTGCAGGTTCGTTCAAGCTCCTGGTCCAGTGGTAGTAGATCTCCCGACTGGCTACGGGTCATGCACTACCTGCACACAATCAACAGAAGCAACCTGTGAAGGCACACAGGTGGAAGAGATGAAATGCAGTAAATAAAAAGCTAGAGTAACAAATTCTCACGTTTCCCCAATAACCTAGAGGTTTCCCCGGCAACGGCGCCAAAAACTTGACACGCCAAAACACAACACCAATCTGCGACCAAGTATAATCGCAGACCGGGAATGCAGTAACAGGCAAGTTATATTATCAACCCGGGGTCTAGGTCTACTGCTTACTCAGTGATTCTCTATTATCTAGCCAACTAAAGTAAGTGATTGTTGTTTAAA